GCCACCGGTGGCCCACACCTTTTGCAAAGTCATATTCTTTAGAGGCCTAGTAGCTTTTTCACATACTGATATTTTTTCCAGTTTTTGCACTCTTGGGGCCTGTAATCTCGTCATTTGAGGAAATGTTTATAGTTGTTTACAAAACGGCTTTGCATTTCGTAAATAACAACAAAACTCGTCCCAAAGCGCCGCCATGCAAAATTAGTCGTCGTCTTCAATGGGTTAAGAAACTCAGGAGAAATGTAACTCTGAAATAATGAACAGTGTAAGGCTTTGGCCATACTTCGCCCGTGTTGCCGGTGTTGAAAGTGTTGCCGGTGTTGAAAGTGTTGAAAGTGTTGCCAGTGTTGAAAGTGTTGCCGGTGTTGAAAGTGTTGAACGGAGATCATCAGTCTAGCAGTTTCATTCTTTCTCGAACGATCTCACCGGCTGGTGAATACGTTGGAAATGGAATTGGGGAATGAGAAATGAAACTGAAATGAGATGGGGAATGTTTTCGCATGCAAAAGATTCTCAAACAAACTTTTTGGAAAGTGGACGGCTTGTCTGGAATAGGGAACGCTGCAAACCTCACTTAGGTCCTTTACTCACTAATCGCAAGCGCGGCAGGATTCGAACTAAAACACACATTACTATTCAGACTTCAGCTTTTTCAAATATTGGAGATTGCCTATTCCAGACAAGCCGTCCACTTTTCAAAAAGTTTGTTTGAGGGTCTCTTGCATGCGAAAACATTCCCCATCTCATTTCAGTTTCATTTCTCATTCCCCAATTCCATTTCCACGTATTCACCAGCCGTTGAGATCGTTCGAGAAAGAATGAAACTGCTAGACTGATGACCTCCGTTCAACACTTTCAACACCGGCAACACTTTCAACACTTTCAACACTTTCAACACTTTCAACACTTTCAACACCGGCAACACTTTCAACACCGGCAACACGGGCAAAGTATGGCCAAAGCCTAAACAGAGTAATGATAGTTCGAAATAACAAACTTGGTAACTTCATTTATGCAATGACAACTTTTTTGCGGTCATGTAAGTCTTGCCACATCTTATATACAAAGCTGAAGTCTGTTTGTCTGTCCGTCTGTAAGTCTGTATGTACGTATGTTCCGAATTTTTACTTCTGAACCGATCAGGACCAAACGTTGCACACATACACCTCGGGAGCGGGCGGGTGTCATAGGCTACTTTTGGTCATCGATCGATATCGATTTTATCGATTTTTTGCAAAGTTTGGATTAAGGGGCTGAGAGTGGGCACAGGGGGGTAAGTAAGCATGCTGATTATCGCCAGGGCCGGGCGGAGTCGGGTTTGCCAGCTAGTTCTTACATAAATTTGTTTTTATGAAATGTATTGTTAATTGCGATGCAAAGTTACTGATCTTCAAATCTTGTTAACCAGTCTTGAGATGCGAACCCTTTAGGAACAACATCACTGCTTCACTGCTTCTTTTATTGTTTCACAATAAACAAGGTAAGCAACATTTGTATGTGGGACAATCGGTTGTCTGATTTTCATGGACATAACTTTCGAGAGTACAATGGGTATGCTTTCTTGCCATCTTCACGCTCAGCTAGTCTTGGGGGGGGGGACTTTTCATACGATCGGGGACTTCGCACCTAGCCTTCGCATCTACCCCACACCTACACACCGCACCTCTCCATCACGTAATGAGTAAGATTCTCCACTACGCCTAGGTGAGAGGGGGGGAGGGGGACTTTTCATACGAACGCTCCCCGATCACTTTGACCTTCTAGCGCATGCTAGGGTGCTGGTAATACGTCCAGTTATCGATTACAATGGACTAAAATGAAACGTTTATCATCAAAAATGCGTAAACTAAAGATTATCCTGATTTTATCTGTTGTATAAAGCTTATCGGGTTGAAATAGCGTATCATAGTAAAGATCGTCAGGCCACAGCTCATTTTCGCAAACAATTGTGGTAATGAATAGTTCGCTTTATCGAAAGAGATATAATTAGGGAATTTAGGGATTGTTCAATCTCATCATCTTGAAATCCATTCCAAACAAAATTGTTAAAGGTCAAAAACACATAAAAATGCAGTTAACAGCAATTTTGTAAATATTTCTGTCAGTTTTCTAGCAAAAGTCGTCAAACTTATCAAGTGGTTACTTCAAACAGCTAGTAAGCCAATAAACTTTGTCCGGCACTTTTTGAATTTTCCCATAGCATGAAACTGGAGTTCTAAGTTGATGACACCCAGAAAAATCGCGTCTCTTGACCGTTTTCCCCCTCCAATATCCCCTATGGGAAGAGTGACACTTCCAAGTCGTGCTGAAAGGTCGAAGAGGCATGGAAAATACTCAAATCAGTTCACGTTTGCAAAAGAGACCGAATTATGTCGTGAATACTAAAAAATTTGTAAGTGGAACGATCATAGTGTTATTTTTCACAGCAAAACACTTTTTGAATCCATACTGTATTCAAGTTTTCCAAATTTATCCAAATTCGCGGTACTGCAAAAGCTAATCTAGATGTTTTTTTTGGAATGGAGCCAGCAGGCCCAAACCTGCCATGGTGCCAGTTTTTACTGGATCTTTGCCAAAAGATGATGTGGAGGCATTCGTATGAAAAGTCCCCCTCCCCCTCCCTTCTCTACAGTATACTAGACACGGAGGTGCGAGACTTGACACTTAGCCGTAGGTGTTCACACCTCGCACCTCGGAATTGCTCATCGTATGAAAAGTCATTCACCCGCTAGTCTTCAATCTCACCGTCTGACAGATCTTCTTCATTTAACCGTCTTTCTCTTCTTCCTCTGCCTGGAAATATCTTGAAGGCAGCGTCCCAGCAAAAAGACGGGTACCGGGTTTTTGTGGCTATGTTAAAGTAGACGCCTTACCTGAACAGAAAACGAGACCCGATGATCCCAAGTACTCAATATGAAATGTATATGGAAACTCTCGTTCATGAACGCTCATTTCATATCCACATCCGAAATCTGCGAATCGTTCCTCATAGAGGAGTTATGAGGGTCTTTTCCCTCAATGAGGCGATATTGTGTGAGTAGAGGAGCCGTACGGATGGAAACCGGTAGCGTATGGTGTGGTTGTAAGTGTGGTAGTCTTTCAGGCATCATGTCTCAGGCTCCTTCAATGCTGGAGCCCTTCCTTTCGTTCTTTTTCGAACGAGCGGTTTGCATGTTCAAAGCACCCAAAGACGTTATGACAAAACTAGTTCGAATTCGTCAGAAATCATGAATATCTCAAGATACTAAACAGCCATTAACAGTCATTGTACAAACCAATGAAAAAACTGCTTATTTGGTTTTAAACTGAGGGAAAAGATCCTCACTCTTCTATGAGGAACAATTCGCAGATTTCGGATGTGGATATGAAGTGAGTGTTCAGAAACGAGCATCTCCATATACATTTCATATTGATGGTGGTTGGGGTCAGCCGGTATCGTTCCCTTGTATGACTGAAGTTCGGAGCGAAAAAAGAGGTCTGCCAAGCCTGAAATTTGTTCCGAAAGTGGCCAGAACGCCGCCCCCACAGTTTTCGAACTGCAAGGCCAGAGCAGGCACAGCGCACACAGTCAAGCGCAGGATCCCGCAACGACTATGCGTCTCTTCCTTGCATGCATCTCGTACTCGCTCGCCTACCGTAAGATCCGGGCCACTTAGGGGCGATTTGCGAACTTGTAGACCCCTATCGCGCTGCAAACTTCTATCGCCGCTTATGTAGTTAGGGGGTCTACTATTACATCGCTAGCAGAGCCAGGTACCGGTTTGGTGGGACGTGCCTTTAAGTCCAATCTGAGAAGCTTATATATATATATATATATATATATATATATATATATATATATATATATATATATATATATATATATTTTCTGCGCCTTTACTGGCTTAGCGAAGCTTGCAAAAACAATACTCCTTAAAACCCTTCCTCCCCTCCCCCCAAATGGTAGTCAGTTTGACCAGAATCAGGTGTGTTAGGCTTTGTTGTTCTTATTGTGCAAACTGTTAGTGCAAGAAAACGCAGCTATGGCAATATATCTACCAGCAAAGTACTTAGCGTACACTTTTTATTTGAGTAGGATATATGTCTATGTATAAAATAATGTTTGATGAGTTGATCTAGCGCAGTTGCGATTTACTTTTAGATATAGCTCTCCAACTGTGTTACATTCATTAGAGGTCTTCCAGTATTTGTTCCATCTTTCTCCCTACGACAAGGGAAATTTTTTTTGCAAATTGTGTGCATGCTTGCAAATATGTATGCATGTCTTAGTAGGGTACAACGCAATTTTAGTAAAACAAAATTTCTTAATTCGACAGATCTCCTCATACCACACCCTTTGAATCAATTGCATTCGCTTCTTCGCTGTAGTTACGAGAAGTTAAGCGATGACAAGCTATAGCAATAACGTACTGCATACAAGCAGTAAATCCATAATAAGCCGCAATGTTTCTTATGTTTCAGCAAATACGCTAACGGTGAAAAAACTGCCGATAACTTCCAATCTTCAGTCTAATATATCATACTCTTACAGTAAACATAATGCTATAAATTTCTAAAAGCTATGAAGCAAACATCGAAAAAGTTTCTTGTTGAAGAGGTCCGTTTATAAATCTTTTGACAAAAGCCGAACTCTATGTTGATCAGAAGAATATATAGGGCTCCTCGTGATTGCGAGAGTCGCTGAGTTTGCGGTCGTTACAGCAGTATACCACAAAGCCTCGAATTCGTTAAACAATCCCTATTTTCAAAGCCGCTTCAGAAAATTGAAATTTAATATCGATGATAGCAAAAAAGCGTACGAAAAGGGAAAGATGACTGCGCGTGCAGTGGGTTCAATCTCACTGACTCTCCCGTTCACGCGGAGCTTTCCCTACAAATGTTAGAAAAAGGTATGAACGTTGTCCATAACAAATAAATGAAAAATTTTCTGGATAACCATCTTATTGCTATACACTTCAAATTCTAACTTTCAAGGTTGTGTGTCACCATTTTAGTGAACAATGTCTTACAAACTGCTCATCCTTCTACTCGTGCTACAAATCTGCATTGTGGACGGAGTCTACATCTTCGCAAGTAAGATTAAAAGCGAACGTGATTTTAAGAATAGGGATCCAAGCCCTTTCTATAAGGTGGGTATCGACATTTGATTGATTAATTGCTTGAGTTGTTCGATAATGTTACAGTGCGTCGAAACATACTGTGGACGTTTCATTAATGAGAAAGACGAAGAGTGGGGTCCATGCATGGATGAATGCATGACGAAGATCGAAAGTCGTTATGTTGCCGAATTTAAACCGGCACCTTTTTTGGTTTAATTCGTATATGTATGTGTGATCTATAAAATATCTTGTTGTGTTGATTGCTTATTTTGAAGTTGTTTGATCCAATTGCACTTACCTTACTACTCCTAAAAAAGCTTCAAATAAAACATCGATCACGGCCCAAATTGCCTTAACACATTCACGACAAGACTGATTATCCAATTACTGCCGTTTCGGACTGCGTTTTCGCTATGTCAAACTTATGGCCCACCCCTGGATCGTATTTTCCGAGATGGTAGTTCTTTTTTTTTAATTCAAGACATGCTCCGACAATTTCTGCCGAGGGATTATTCAAGGCGCTGATTGTTGAAACCGATTCCATTCAGTTTTTGGCCTTATAGTAAGGTTACAGTAATCATTCTGTACGAGCCCAAAATCATTAAGCTTCATGGAAAATTGTATTTTTAGGTTATTTCACGTGCTGATCACGATTATAGTGTCCGCTTTGTCTATCACTGTCCCATAGCGGGGCTACGATAGCAGTGGCAGAATTTTCGTAAAAATCAAGAAACGGATGTAAAAAAGAGGCAGAAACAGCTCATTCTGCGAAGAATTTGAACTAAGGTCCGTGCTTTATCTCTGTCTACGGTATATAACATTACACTGCAGTATCCTTGCATGGGTCTCCCCTGTGCTAGAACCCGTAAAATTCCATCGTAACCTGGCAAACCTAGGGCTTCACGAATCTTACGACCCAACGGTGGGTCGTATCATCCGAAATGGCAGAACACGTACAACCCACCGGTGGGTCGTAAGTCGTGAATCTGTGATATGAAAATTTTAGAAGATAGTGATTTTAGCGATCGCAGTCAAAATGTATTGAAATAAGCAAGCGTTTCAAGTGTTTCGTAATATATACAGGGTGTCCCAAAGTAAGTACACACTTTTCAATCGTTAATATCTCTTTTTCCATTGTGTCTTTTTCTGCCATTCAGGTACCATTCTCTAGAGAAGGCTTCAGCTTAGATTTCCAATATCAAGCGAATCACCGGTCGCTCTTCATTATCGTGGATTACTGTAGGAACTTCGACAAGGATTCTAGGCCATTGGAAGCCCTGTTTTGCCTCGGAACAAAACCAAACAAGCCAAAAACTCTTATACTACGGTAATGGAAGCCGCTGATTTCGAATATGAAATATCCACTTAATTGTGATGCTTCTTCAAAAAGTTGTGCCAGGTAGACCGTAGTAACCGAATTTCCAGTATTTGTCAGAAATGTGATCATACCGTCAAAAAAGCTGAAAACACCCGTAAAAAGTTGTGTAGTGGAATCAGCGTGCGCGAAAACCCCAGTACACGATTTTTCAGATTTTTGAAAAAAATTTTGTCAGATGGCACATTTCATAATGGTTCCACATGCTAGAAGTCCTAGTACACCGTAGTCCTACAGTAACGAAGAGCGATTGGTGATTAGACCGGTACTATGAATCTAGGTTGAAGCCTTCTCTACAGAATGATACTTGACTGGCAAAAAAGACCCATTGGGAAGAGAGATATTGACTATTGGAAAGTGTGTACTTACTTTTGGGACAACCTGTATTTTGAAGCAAAGCATTTGAAAGCTTAGTTGGCTTTGCAGTAAGTATAATAAGTTACGGCGAATTAATCGTTATTAGATTGGTGACGATTCATCTTAAATACCAAAACCAAAGTGACGAAAATCGCAAACTTTTAATTCATTGTTGTCGCTCTACATTTATACCTCGTAAGCGTCACTTGACTGACTGATTAATCGCTCTCATTGAATGGCCTAGTCTTTTGCGACAGCTGCTAGTTATTCAAAAACGATCTAACGTTTCAATATTTGATGTTGATCACTTGGCTCAAAAAAGTGCCCTACCACATCTTTTACAGCAACTATTTTCTACCGGTAACTAAAGCCTAGCCATCGTTCTTAGTACAATACCCCTGGTATTTTTTGAAAAACGATGCACAGTCGCCCGATTTATGTGGCATGGCATTAGGCAGCGTGGCCATATCTTACTTCAGAGTAGATATTCTTAATTTAAGGCGTCGCTATTTCCATTTTAAATGGATCTGATATGTTCAATCTGGAAACGCAGCCACGCGTTCATATCGCCGATGTTTCCGAAAAACATCATTAAAAAGGGATTTTGGAACTTTCAATGCTTTTGGATTATTCAGAAGGCGTTGGTTTGAGATATTTATTTGAACTCGATTGTCAAGTTCAAACGAGCTATCGTGGTGAGTCATTTAAAGTGCGGCAAGCGTTTGTATTGCAGGATTGCAAGACAACGGTGTTTTTACCATAGTAGATATCAAATATATCAACGATTCTGTGAAAGACTGATAGCGCTTTGAAAGTAATTCTACGAACTTAGTGCTTACTATTACTTGGTACATAAAACAGCATAAAGAGATGGACTTTCTTTTGCCTCATATCAGGCCGCTGCATAAGTTCTATCAGATTGCAATTTTTAGGCTCAAATATCACTTCTCTCAAAATTAATATTTCTTTGTGGGATTAATTTCTGTGGATTAACCAAGCTTTTGGCTATCGCAGGGGTATATAACTAACGAAAAACGCTACTGCAGAAGAACCAGGATTGCAAAAACTTAGTAGTGTTTTCTTTCAGTGTGTCTTTTCTTGACGTAGTGCTGCTCTCCATACGAGCTTTTAGGCATATAGCAGTCGTCAGTATAGCGAAAATATTGGGAATCATTTTAAGAACAGAAAGATCTACTATTTTTGAGACCTAGAGATTTTTCTAAGCAAACGAATGAAAGCCAAATTTTTCCCGGCTGCCCACTCATTCGCTCTTTTGGCTGACCAAACTGACCTGGCTAGAGCATTGTGGAGATTTCAAGATAGAATATGTCTTCCGGCAGAAACCATATTTTAGCTACCTGCGCTCTTGGGTCTGCAATCTTGATCAACGATTTTCACGAAATTTGACCAGGAAGAGCAAGAAAAACGCTTTCTAACCTTTAGACGTTCCCTTTTAGAACATGACTCTTCAAAACAAAGCAGGAAACGGTCAAAACTTATGCAGTACCCTAGTATTTGCAAAAACTGTGAAAAAATTACATGTGTGGTTTTACATTTGCTTTACTTCGAAAGCCTTTGATAGTTCTACAAGTTAAAAGAAATTCGCCATTTCTTCTGGTCTTTAAGCCTTGCTAGATTCTATCAGAAAAGACCAGTGGCGGCTTGAAAATCAAAATTTTCTAAATTGTTAAGAAGCTTTTCAAAAAGCTTTTTTTGTATTTTCATTCAATCACCTCAGATTCTTTTTTGCCTTGAAAGTAACTTTGTTGCGGCTCGCGATCGACCGCTCCTCACAGCATGTGGCCGGGAGCACCGTGTTGCCGCGCGTCTCGTTCGTGAGCACGGTCGTCGCGCTTTATGGCGACTACCTTGTTCACTCCGAGACCACACCACGTAGGCACGCCCCCAGCCACCGCTATAAATAGCGCGTACGCGGGCCATTGCGGCCTCTCTCGTCTTGTCATCTTACTATTATCGTCGTGCCGCCTTTGTTATTGATCGGTTGGGTTTCCACGATATCGCCGTCGTGTCTACGTCCCCGTGCCTCGCGCGATTGGATGGATCGTTGATGGATTGTTAGGATGTACGCGCGAGGATAGAACTCCAGGATGACAAACATCACGAAGCGCCTTGGTTGCGCAGGATTCGATGGAGCTTGGTTCGATGCTGCTGGTTAACATCATGGGGTCGGTGTTGCCGTGCCGTAGCTGTTGCCTTGGCGGCGCGCGGCCGGCCTGTGGGTAGCTCTCTTGGATGTCGGGAGAGTGTGTGATTGTGTCAGTATGTGAGTAAGCCAGAGTCCCCATCGGTAGCCCGGGGTAGAGCTTAACTCTCCCCGTCGTAAGTATGTTTTACATATTTATTTTATGTCGTGCATTTTTCGTGTATTTTTTCTCGTATATTTAGTTTAGTAAATTTATGTATACTTATCGTTTTGTGTGTAGTAGGCGTAACGCGCCATCGTGAGCTGGCACCACCCGCAGTGGCGGAAGTCCTTTGGGGACAGGAGCTGTGGCGCAAGGCGGTCGAGCGCTAGGTGAGGGGGCTCAGAGCCCACCGAGCCGCAACAAATTTTCTGTGCTTGAACAAATTTGAGAACATTTTTCATGAATACAAAATTCATGTCAAACAGACACAAGTCTTGCAGATGTTGTAAAACTTATAAGGATTGGGTAAGATCGGTCAAGAAAAACAAAAAAGTGGACACTTTTGGGCTGAAGACATATCTGCCAGATTCACAAGACAAGAAAAAATTACAAAAACGAGTTTGTCCAAACTGCAATATAGCAAGAACTTTTGAGACTGAAGATGACAAAGTTTGCAAAAAAGGAAAATTTCTTTCAAAGACTACTTTCCGATTTACATTACACTACATATACCGCCATTGAGGATATGCATCGTGCATCCCACAGAATTGTTCCCATGTGAACCACCAACTATCTTTTTTCTGTCGTTTTAACACGTCAACTCCAGCAAATTCATGGCTCTTACTCAAAGTTGACATGTTAAAATGATCGAAAGACAGCCACTTGATGATTCACATAGGAACATTTCCGGGAAATGCACCGTATGTGCTGGAATTTCATGATACCCTGCCAGGTTAGCTAGCTGTGGAAAAATTAGGGTTAAATCAGTTAGATCAGCATTTTCGTCTTTTAGGTGCGGTAACTGTACGGGTCATGTTGCTACTAATGCACCGATAGGTTAATGCTGTGAGGTTAGTACTTATCTACAAATTCGACTCGAAAATTTCTTTTCGAACCGAGATTAATTTTTACAAAATTTGGGGCATACATCTCCTAGGTTTTTTTTACCGATGTTTTCCTTTTCACATGTTTTGTTCAAGCCGGAGATTCTCAAAAAATTGCTAGAATCGAAAATTTTTTCACTCGGTCTCGTAGCCCTAAATCGATTCTTAGTGGTCGGATTTATTTCACACATCTTGCACCATAGGCGAAGTTTATGTTACAAAAGGCTTACTAAA